AGAAAATTTTCAAGTATAGTTACCCTGCTAAAGCAATGGAGCTAACTTTGAGTCAGAAAAAAAATTTATGATAAAAGCTCTGTTTAAGCTATGGAGCCGAATGATAGGGATGAAAGCATTAAAAGTTCATATTGCCAAATTAAACATATCACAAATTTTGTATCAATCAAACAAAATTTAATGAAAGAAAATTTATATTTCAAAAAAAAAGTTATGGTTTTAGAAATAACTGGACCTGTATCCTGAAACCAGTCATTAATAACAACCACGTGCCATGCACAATTCTAGTTGATACTTCAACGTCTTCAATAAAAATACACAAAAAACAAAGGAACTACTTTAAGCAACGACCTCGGTTACTAAAATAAGAAGATTCAATAGTTTGAAGACAAAATAGGCATTAATTATTTTAAAAAAGTTCTTTCAGTAAAAAGAACATGGATTTGTCTTTTAAACAACTTATTGGAACGTTCCAAAAAAAGGTCATTATCTTAAAGATAAAACTAACACTATAGATCAGCAATTATATATCCCACCAGTAATATCCCGCTAATATAGTAAGCTATATTAGAACAACAGCATACAAATCTATTAATCTTTAGTAAATATTCTGTACACAAAAGCCCTACTCCAACCTAAACTAGTAATAGTTCTAAGAAAACGAAAAACTGTAATCCATAGAGAGATATTAGAAACTAAATTATATACTGAAACCGGATCTAGTATCGTGCAAAATTTTACTTAAAAATTTTAAAAGACTTATGTTATATCTTTAAAATATATAATATTTATCATATATTTTTTTATTAATTAATTTTTTATTAATTGATTTGATATAATAAACAATAAATTTTACTTAAAAGGCTTTCAAAAGAATTAAAAATCCAAAAAATGTAAAGGTAATCTGAGAAAAATATCTTCAAAATATTTAGTTAATCACATTTAAAACAACTGTCCTTAATCAATTATACTTTGCATATCCTTTAAGCATATTTTCTCAGAAACAAATAAGAAAAAAACATGCTATAATTAGCCCACTTAGCTTAAGCGTTTTTTGTATAAAAGCCGACAAAACGAAGTTTAAAGCATACTTACGTGCAGCACTTTTTGACAGTTGTCAATTCCTCTTCGCTCTTCCAAAGGTGAAAAAAAATACAAAACACAAAATAAACGCAATCAATCCACGAGCAAAAATGCAACGGCTGCAATAGAATTGAGTGTTTCTTCTTCCCTTTTTACCGTTTGCCGCTTATCGTTTCCAAGCTAGTCAACGCAATTCATATATTCCAGGCGGCAAAAGGACACAAAGGAGCTACAACAGCAACGGGGGGACAGCACTCAAAGCAAACGTATGAAAACAACCCTGAATGCTGTGACTACTACTATATGCCAGTTAGTTCTCCCGCCGTACTGTTTCGCCACTGAATTGTTTTGTTGTTGATGCTGAATGTTGTTTTTTCAAAGGCGAAGGTAAGAAATATTGTGAAAAAAAAACAACAACAATGCTACACAAAGCCAAAGAACGTAAACTAGAGGTCGGTCCAACTCCTTTAGCTTGCTTTTGTTGTGATGTGATGTGTTGTTTCTATTGCAGACATAGGCGCAGAATTAAAAATGAAAAATGCGGAAAATTTGTTGTTTGCAGAAAACTTGATTATCAAAGTCTAGAGTTTTTGTTATTAATATGATATGCTTTTATTTATTTATTTTGATTATATGATAAACACTTTATAATAAAATTAAACTCTTTTATGTAAAAGTAAGCTTTTTAATAAGAATTTTTGTTTATACGGTAATAATTTTTTTAGAATTTTTTATTACGGCAATTTTTCTTATTTTATTTTCATATATTTATTCTTTTATATACCATATAATATATGTTTACAGCTATGTATAACCGTATAATTGTAATTAAATTTTCTTGTTAGAAAAATTTTGGATTATTTCCATTCAACTTCACACAATTTGGCCGCAGATTTGAAAATTTGCTTTTAGCACAGTTACAGACGCTTTTTGTAATCACCTTCGTTAGACTTTTTGTTTTATTTAAATTTCGGTATTTCGAAACACTTATTAAATTTAATTTTAAAACAATGCAACTTGGAATTAAAAAAAATTCTGTTTTCTCAGTTGCAATTTTTTTTTATGATCACACAAAAACTCGTTTGGCATCACAAACTCAAAAACTTTATAACTTAATTTGTATCTTCACTTTTTTTCAAAGAAAATTAATGCGCGTTAACCGACATCCCATCACCACGGCAAATAACGAAATGATTTTAAAGAGAGAAATAATATGGAAGTGGTGTGTTGAGTTACTTTAACAGTGTTAGAAATCGTATGAATTTAGATTGTTTTAATAAAGAGCAAACTTTTATTATCCTTTAGCACATTCAAATAGAAATTTGTAACATAACAAATGTGATTTAATTTCATAGAATTTGATATGATATAAATTGCATAAATTCAAAGAAAATGTTATTGTAATCAAATAACAATACTAGATATATTGCAAACGTGCAGTTGTATTCGGGTTTTGCATTAGAATTCTTCTTGATTTACATATAAGATAAATTAATTTTGGTCATGTGTAGTTTATCATAAAAACATAACTTATATTATATATATATGCACAATATTTATAAATATATAATATAAATATTAATAATAAATCAAATGATCGCCATATCTATGAAAATAGTTAACTCAGTTTAATTTTGTATGATAAGAAACCATCTTCGACAATTAATTCAAATTAAATTAAAATATAAATTAATAGTTGAAACTATTAATATAATTTTAAATACCTGGTAATAGCGCCGCTCTTGTGCTTACATAAAGATGATCATTACATAAATATAAGAAGAAAAAGGTCGAACACTTATCATGGGTGACAGAAATATATTATTACTGGGTAACAGTAAAAGCTTTTGATATGTGAAACGGCTTTAAAAATATGGTTTCAAAAAAATTTTTAAGAGGTTTTAGCTAATATTAGATAAGAATAATGATTTTTCCGTAATCTGTTTCAAATGCAATTTATTGCATCGCATTTTTTTGGAAGTACCTCCGTGTACTGAGAATTCTAACAAGTTAATGTAATACTAATGAAGATATATCATGTGGTAATACCTTGCATACAATACTACAGATGCAGTTATCACCGAACTGAATAAACAGATAGCAGTGTTGAATTTAGTGCCTGCGTGCCTTTTTTAAGAACAGAATACACAGGAATTTAAGAATTAGCAAAATTCCAACAGTAAATAATAATTAATAAGATTGAGCGAATAAAAAATATCCCATACTTTCATGAAAATACGCAATTCTTCATTCGGAAAGATGCTTTACATAAATCAAAAACAATATAAAATACATTAAGAAACATTTATTTTCAATTATATATATTATATCATATATTTATTCAATATATATGTACTCATAACATAGGATATGATCGAGTATAATAAATTATATATATAAAGCTATAAAAAGCAATTGAAATAAAATAAGAAAGCTTTAACGTTTTAACCAATTGCTGGCCACCGAAGGGTTAATGCGAATGTTTAAACACTGATGAATAAAATATTTATACCTATACCAAATGTGATGGTAAGATAATATATAACATAATAAAAATTGTTTAGTTCAAATTGCAATGAACTATTAATAATATTAGCACTAATATTTTAATATTTCAGAATAAATAATTTAATATTAAGAAGTTATGCTGTACTCTTCGTGGTGAATTTTATTGTGATTGAACATACGTTAAAGTTTAGGTAGTGTTGTACAGTGTTTAAATTATGTGATATTTAAATTTAATTTATAACGAATGGTTATTGTTAATAGACCAAGCAACATTTAATAATGATTTTAAGTTTAACTTATTTAATTTCATAGTTTTGTCTATAATGAAAAAGGGACAGCATACACTTACCAAATGATATCTTATAACTTCATTTCCTTATCGGAGAATACGAAATATAATTATCACACATATTATAGTATAAGTATAGCGTCATCCGATTAAATTGAGGGAATACAAAGAATATACATATATACTTACTCAATCAAGTGACTAGTCTTGCTCGTCACTCACTGTCCATTATCATTGTGGTTTTTATTGCGCATACATGTCGAACAGTTAAGTGCTCTTATCAATACCTACTACCATAACTGTAGCTTATATGGAAACTATAATCCTTATTTTTACATACATTTACTTAATGTCTGTGCGATATTACCACTTTAAACATTAAATACATTATCAGTTTAATTCAAATAACACAGCGAGATTTCCTTCATCACAATAAGAATATCTACTGTGCAACTATACTTCCTTAAAGGCACTAGCTTTTCCAAAACCGTGTTATCACAATTGACTTACTTTTTAGGGCCCAAGTAAAGCACACCCCTTGAGAGTAGATACACAGGTATCTACTATTACTATTTCTATACCTTCATATATAGCTCGTTAAAGCTAATAGGAAATCGTAGTATTACGATAGGCTTACTTTGTAGAGCCTTAGTAAGGATCGCATCTTAAGAGATATGCTGTCACTGATATCTATTATTAACTATATAGCTTCTATTTAAATAATTAATTCTGCTTTAATTATATTATTATAATTTTTATGCTAATTTTTTTAACAAAAAATATTAATAAAAACAATTTCAATATAATTGCAGAAAAATAGTTTATTGTTTCAAAATAAAAAAAAAAAATCTTACTTTTAATAAAATCTTTTTGTATGCCATATAATTTCCCTATACTTCATAGAATATAATAATAAAGTGCATACCTTTCTTAGTCGATAAACTCCAAGTGACGATAATTAAAATAATATATAAGTTTTATCACAATACATATATACATTGACACATATTTGGATGTCTTAACAAAAACTATAAAAATATCTTAAACATTTATATTTGTACATTTGCAAAATACGTTAAATAATAAAAATACAAAACCAATCAACAACAAAAAACAAAACAATATATATAAAATAATTGTAAGAAGTAAATTAATGTTCTACTCTCTCTACACATAAGTTTATATCTAACTTAGGACGTAGAATAAATAAATTTGTATTGTCATAATCAATCGGTGTGAATACTTCAGTACTCGAACTATATTTGTAGTCTTGCAGAAGTGTTATCAGACCCACAAGAATCTGTATTTTCGCAAATTCCTGAGCGATACACTCTCTAGGACCAAAACCAAATGGTATCCAAGTAAATGGATGTCGTTTTTGTACTTCACTTGGTAAAAAGCGATCCGGATCAAATCTACCAGGTTCTGGATATATGTCTGGATCATGATGTATAGCTGAAATAGGTACGACTAAATAGTTGTCTTCTTTGAACATAAAAACCGAATCAGGGATTTCATAGTCTTTTGTAGTTTTGCGTAGAAGGAATGGATAGGGACTATGTTTGCGTAGAGTTTCTGCAAATTAACAAAAAATAAAATTTTATTATTCAATTACAAATGAAATGTATTGTAGAAAACTTACCGCAAACAATTTGATTAAGATATTGCATATCAGAAATACTTTTCATGTTTATTTGGTTGTTGTGTTTTTTAAGTACATCGTTAATTTCTGCTCTTGCCTTGTCTTGCATTTGTGGATGCACTGAGAGTTCATAGAGACAATAGATCATAGTGGTATTACAAGTCTGTAGACCGGCTAGCACAAATGAAAAGGCTTGCGCTGTTAATTCATTAAAGCTGAAGCCACCTTGTGAGTTGTCTTCATATTTTAATTTAGCAAATATTTCTAAGAAATCGTTATGTGGTTGCGAGTGTTGTTTTTTGCGTTCTATTACTTTATTTTTTACCAAATTGCAATAATAATTTGTGACTAATTCATCATAGCTACGGTATCCTAAAATACGTGCTATTATTGGAAAATACGTAGCTAAATAAGCTTTGATCATACTAAAGCTCTTCATGTACGTTTGCGTCATTGCACGAAACTCGGTGTTGGGATGCAGCAGAGAGTCACTATTCATATTAAACACTAAATTTGCAATCACATCTACATTAAAGGAGTCCACTAGATCATTTATTACAAATATCTTGCGCGAACTTAGTCTCTCATTTAAGGAACGTTTAAAAACTGTTGAAATATTTAGCAAAGCTGGTACGATTGATTCCAATTTTTCTTTTGAAAATACTATGCGAAGTTTGTTGTGTAATTCTTCCCATTTGTGTCCATCTAATTGAAAGAGATTTTGAGACAACGGATCGCTTTCCACGTTATTATACAAGCCTCGTGCTTTAAATATGTGTGCATCAGTTTGGAGTACATATTTTATAACATCCAAATCAAGTAGTAGAATTACAGGCTTTACATAAGCATAGAAACCGATGAATGGCGCTTTCGCTTTATATTTATTGTAGTGCTCTTGCAGTGCAGTTTGTATGTGTTTCTTGCTGCCCACACCTTTCAGGTTACCCCATAAAAATTTAGGTTTCTCATGTAATATGCCACGCTTCTTCCAATGCGACAAACTGTACTTTACCAAGAGATAAAAGATTGACAATGCACCTATTGTAGTGTACAGCAGACGGTGCAACAAATCCATTGTTGTATATTTTAAAAATAATTTTATTTCTTTACTTTCTAATGCGATCAACTATTTTTGCCATAACATTTTTGTCTTCACGCTTTCTGCATTAAAGTTTACCCGCACTGTCTTCGAACACTTTGAACTCTAATCGATTTTAACACTACTGGCAGCACACGGCTTATCAACAATTTTCCATTGATAACGAAATTTTTTATCGTTTGTAAAAATTTTCTATAGAAAAAAATAACACAAATTATAAATACAAACAATATTATTAAATATAATCAATATGTAATAAAACTGTTAATAGCCCCTTCTACTGTGTAAAATTGTAGTTTCAGATTAGCAATGAAATTATTTTTTTTTCCATATAAAATGAAATCCACAAATAAGTTAATTATAAGTGCAATTAATTGTGTATTATTATTTCATTTAAATAAATGTACTGCTTGAATATTTATTAACACTTTTTTTATTTTAACTGTGGTAAACACAAATTATAAAAGGAACTATCAACAAATTCAGTTGTCTTTTTCCATGATATATATCCACAATCAACGAGTTCTTTTATCGATATCGGAATGCCAACAAAGTGTGGATCCTATAAAAATACATTAATAACATACTACACATTTTAATATAATTAAATGAACCACTTACAATCACTAATAAATAAACATCTTCTTTAGCGATATGTATACCAGCTATTCCTTTAGAAGCAGCATCCATATCCCCACCCATCATTACAAAACCGCCAATGTTTTCAAAATAATCTTTTAGCGCGCACATATGATTTTTAAATTCATCACGACTTGGTATATGTAATATTTTGCAAGAAACATCATATAAATCATTTACAACATAAAAAACTTCTAAAGCACCAATCCAAGCGCGAGACCCTATGAAATCCTTTGGTTTATCTTCAATTCTTACAAGTGTTTCCTGTATCTCACGTAAACCAGGCACGTGCAATGTGCCCACTTTATCTTGTTTATATAAAATCCATGTGCACATAGACTGCAGAGTGCGATATGCACAACCCCAACCTTAAAGGTGTAAAAAAAATATTATAACTAATAGTTACAATTTAATTGCAAGCTACCTACCTTGGTCGTTGAAGCCATCACAGCCGTAGTGAAAATATTGAAAATCACCACGGGTCAGAAACGTTGTACCTGGACATGGTGGCTTTAAGCCCAGTATATTGGTCAATAATTTATATTTGTATACCTTTGAAGTAATTGCTAACGCTGATACCGAGTCTGGTGCTTCATAATTTTGATTTTTCATGATATTTTAATTAAGTTTGACTTTTGAAAACTTTGGCGGTTTGCAAAAAAAATATACTTAACGAAAAATGTATAAAAATTATATAATAAATTTACGGTCGATTGCTGCAAAATTCCAGAGCTGTTGCACAAGTGAATTATGTAGTGCAATTAAAACAAGAGTGAAATTGCAGCTTGAATTGTTTACTGAAATCGCAGTGCGTATAATTGCGTCAAAACAACCAACAACCTTCGGAGTTGCCAACGATGCTAAAAATAACCTTGTTCTATATACAAAAATAATTCATTATAAATTGTGATAATTTGTGTTTTTAACTTAATAACCGTTTAATATGTTCTTTGTTTGATTAACAAATCTTTTACGTCTTTTCAAAGATAATTTTTTATAAATATATATACATTAATAACAGGTGCGAAATTCACAAATATAAGCTGTGTACTGGCCTTGCAGTGTACAGTATAAAAAAAAATTATACACAATAATTTGATATGTACTATACAGCGTTGTTTAAAAATGTTTAAATGTTTAAATACTACAAAGTTGGAATACATATATGTATGCATATTTTAGTTTATATTATAAACTACATTTTTTTACAATATGTGAAAATAATATTGACTATACGTGTAATATAAATATTTTAATGTAATTATATTTTATTTATGTTATTTTATAGCAGTAAAATTACGTATCAACAAACAGCTTTGATGAAGCAATAAAAGCGTGGTTAACTAGCAGTTATACTGATGTGCTGTCTGGTTCAATGTGGAACATATATGCTAAATAAAAGTAGAACATTATTAATAGAAAATTTCACTGACAATGAAACTTTTTAATATAATTACGTACAAAAACAATAAAAAGCATGCAAAAATACATATTATAGAGTCACAAACAAATAAATAAAACCACATTTTATAAACAAATTAACAGCAAGTATGTGTAATGCGTTGCCAATTATTTTCATTTGTCATCCGTACCATACAGCAGTGATGACCTATATCATCATTTACTGAAACATTTACTGTCGGCATTTTCTAATGTTTACCTAATTATTTTATTTAACTGTAATATACAGTAGAAATATTTTTTTTGTTGTAATTTAACGTCAGTTATGACGGAAGTGACTATTTTACTTAATAGAAACTATTGTATTTGGTTTTTTATATTAAAACCAAATTAAATTATTTTTATATTATTTAAATTAATTGAACTTTTAGCTGATCATATTGTAGAAATATTCAAAAAAAAAAAAATTGAAACAGAGAAAACAGTTGTTTATTATAAATTAACTTAAATAGCTTTTTAATATAATTTTAAATCGCTTCAACTTATAGAAATAACTCTGGCTTCGTATTTTTTAAATATAAATTTAATTCATTAATTGTTAGAAAAAAACAGTTAAGAATCATTCGTCAATATATTTAAAAGCATGCATTAAATAAAACTGCTGATAAATATTGTCTAGTGTTGCCAATTAACATAATAAATAAATGAATTTTATAAATGAACAGGCTGTTATCCATATTGGTTCCGATCTTTGCTAAAAAGTTGTGCAAACATTTATTTTACAATATACGATAAACAGTTGTGTGATAATTTAAATTTTGTAGCTTTTAATAATGTTATCCAAAGTAATAATGTGTTAATGCATTTTTTAAAAGAAAACAAGTTTTTGAAATTTTATATTAGCGGCTTTTAATCTTTTTAAAGTATTTTCCATGGCTCCTTATATACCACTACTTAAAATTTTGAATGAAATCAGTTTCTTGACTTTTATACGGAACAAAATCGTTGCTTTACAGCTACGATCATTTATAATTTTTGGCTTTAAAAACTGCTAAACATTTCTTAATTTATAAATATATAATTTATATATAATTTTCTTCCTTACATTCTTCCTAACATTACAGCCTTCCGTCTTACTAGAACGTCTTTCACAATTACTAGTCTTTTTAATAACAGTCATGGAACTAAACTTAACTCTTACCATATTATTTGAATCTATACATATCCTTCCTAATTTAATATTCACTTCATCTCTTCATATTTATAGGTTCGTTGAAAAATATCAAGAGTTGCAATAACAAAAATGGTATATGATTTGGACCTAAGAATATTGCTCATCAATAATTATGATTTTTTTTTAGAAATTGCGACATAGATTCTGTATGTTACGAAGTATTATTTTCTCTTTTATAATAATATATACAGTTCTATACATCTCTCCTTCTTCCGCACTGTGAACTGCCTTCATGTTTGCGTTTGATATGCTGATGTAATCTTCCAGGTAATCATATAAGGATTTTAAATACTCACACATAGATAATTGTATTCACATTTTGTTTGTTAATAACCTTCTACCTATGATATTTCAAGAGAGAAAACGTCTATATAATGTTACCTCACCATAGGTCTTTAATTGCATTCACTTTTGGTTTGATTGGTTTCTTGGTGACTGTATAGATCGCAACACATCTGTTTTTTTTTAAAACATATCATATTAAAGTAGGATTGGTGGATAGAACGGCTCATATATAACTTATAAGCATTTCTTTTGTTACGAAAAAAGTAAATATTTTCAGTAAACTGCATTTATTTAATTTTTTTAAAGTATATAATAAAATATACTTTTATATATATAATATAATATATATATGTACATGATATTTTTATTTTAACCTGACTCAAAATTTGTGTAATTTTTAATAGTGCAATTAATAATAAATTTGCAAAAAAAAATATTTTTAATTTAATTTCGTTTTATTTATTTTCTAAATAAATATTATTATTAATTAAATTATTTAAATGATTGCAAGATTTGACTTATTTTTCATTTCTGCCAGTAACAAAATTGCAAAAGATTTTTATACTTTCCACAAACATTTCAATTTTAATTTTGTCTTTATTGATCGAATATTAATTTTAATTATATTTTGTTTTTAATATAAATAGTACATATATGTTTGTTTAATATATTTTTAGTAGGTTGTTAATTTTTAATTATTTTTGGATATAGTTTTTTTTTTGTTATTAATATTTATATATTTTTTCTAAAAGAAATAATATAAAATTTTTTTTAAAGTAAGGTTATAAATGTTTAGATTTATATGTTTATATTTTTAATTGCATTGTATAAATTTAAAATTGTGTATAATTTGCAGTATTTTTATAATATACATATTTGTCCTATTTGTGTCTTTTTCTTTTAATTTTATAAATATTGATTGGTGTTAGTTGGCATTTATAAGTTCCAGTTTCAGTAACAAAATTATAAATAAGCATATAGCAACTTTTGGTGGTAAGAAGTATACGTTAACTTTATTATAATATGAAATTTATTTAACATAAAAAGATACATTTCGAATGCTTATGAATATGTAAATTATATTTATCATTTTAAAATTTATATTAAAAAAATTTGGTAATTGCACCATTAAGTTTCAATAAAATTCAAATACCTTAGGTAAAGAGTATACATAAGTTAAATTAATTATAATTGTTTCAATCTAATTTTATAGCACTACATATTGTTTAAAATATATTTTACTTAATTTATTTGTTGCAAATCGGCTTTTCTAGTTTTGTCTTTTAAGTTAAACACGACATTCAAAGAATATTAAAAATATATACAAAAAAAATACTATATTAAATGTTGTTAAAACATGCATTTATAAAATTAGTAGGTTTTAATATAAAATTTATTGCTTTCGTTAATTTAATTTTAGAACTATAATTTAAATAATTTATTGTTATAATGACCAAATATTTTTAATTATAATTTTTAAAATTTCAAAATTTATTTTTTAAATAAACAATATTAAAATTAATCAATAATATTTTTAAAATGATCAATAATAATCATTAAAATAAATAAAAGAAATTTTTTAACTTAATATTTACATAATACATAATATTTATTCAAAAGATATATTTTTAATAAAAATATGTTCAAACAAAAATATGTTAGAAGTTGAAAAACTAAATTATGCAAAATATTGTTAAATAATTTATATTAATTGATTTAATAAACATTAAATTTATTTTATTAAAATTCAAATATAAACTTTTTATAAGTTATAAAAACAATAAAAAGTAATTCAAATTTTTAATTCAATTAATTTTAATATTATTAAACTTGAAAATAATTATTAATTATAATTTAATTTAATGCTGGGACGCTTCTTCTTTTTTATATGTTCAATTTTTTTTTTCGAAATGTATTAACAATAAAAATAATATAATATTTAAATAATTATGAAATATATTGATATATAATATAATTAATGAAAAATTAAAAAGCAATAAAGAAAAATGTATTATGGGAAACTAATTAATTTTCTACTGCATGCAACCTATTAATTTTATTTAGTTATAAAATTATCATAGTATAATTTTAATATAAATGTTTAAAAATTAAATAAACAATAATTAAAATAAATCCTTCATTTAAAGAAGCATATTAGAGTCAGTGTTGTAATATGTTGGCTTATAATTTATAATTTCAAGACAATATATTATAATAAATAACAGTTAAATTTAAAATAATAATAACAATTGTAGTGCTTAAATGTTTATTGTATATAAATTTAAAAAAATATAAAAAAAAATCCGAATTTAATTACAACTTTTAAAGCTTTCATATGTGCATGTATTTGTTATATGTAATATATATTTTTTAAAAAATTAAATAATAAAATATATATTAGCATAAAATTTAAAGCTTCATATTTGTGACAAATTTTTATTTTAAAAAACAAAAAAACATAATAAAGAATTTAGTTTATATTTTGTTTTTTATTGTTAGTTATATCACTGAACCTTAATAAGAAACATATACATATAAGCATAATACAATAAAATTAATTTTTAAAATAACGATATTTATTTTTCAAAGCTATATTAAATAAATCATAAAAAAATTTAACAAAATTTAATATATATATGCATAACTATAATAAAACATAAGTTTACTATAAATTTAATTAAATTATATTAATAAAGGTTATTTGCTTATTAAAAGTACAATAAAATGATTAGTAAATATTAATATTTTTTTGCTATAATTAAGCATTGATAGTTTTATGAAAAATATATATCTTTCTTAGTTTACTACTTAATAGTATCTCGTCAATTAGAGTATAATATACTTAAATATTTATATGTTTTAAATATTTTAAATATTCTGTGAACTATATTTTATCGATTGCATTTGAAACTCTAGAATATAAACTATTGTGAATCTTATTAAAACTTGTGTTATTACATATATGCAAATTGCTTTCGATATTTATTTTATAATACATTATTAATTTATTGCCTAACCCACATATTTTACTTAGTTTTATACACATAACTCCATTTCAACTATATAAGAACTTTTGTTTTTGTTATTTTAGTATTGAAAGTGTTAAAGTAATTCTACTATTAAAATTTCTATAGTAAGTTTCGTTCGTTTAATTTTTATCGTCATGCTTTGATATTGTGCACCGTTAAAGTAATAGCAGGCATTTCGATTTTTTCACATAAAGTCCAAGGATATATAGCAGTTTTTTTTATTATCTTTTGTTTTCCTTATCTTGTTGATAAACACGATTGCAGAGTGGAGTTTTATAAATCCAATTTTCAGCGACTGGTTTAAAATACTATTTATTAAAAAAAAAATATGTATTAATATTAAATATGTAATTTTATTTATTTATTATGTATATTATTTTTAATATGAAAATATGTTATATGTAATTTTATATATATGCAGTAAGATATACATTTAACTACTATATGTGCGAAATCAAAAGAAGTAGATAAGCTCACATACCTTATGTTCCCATTGTTGGTCCATTTCCTTACGCGCCTTTGCCTGTTCACGTTGTTTCTGCTCTATTTCACACTTTGCATTTGTTGCCTTTTCGATATCATTAAATCTAACAAAATATGTAATATATTAGTGAATTATAAAATATAAATATAAAAACAAATTTTAATTCAATTTATTTAGCAAAAAACAATTAATAATTTTTTACTTGAGTCCTGCAGTTACTTCCTTCCAAACGCGTCTTGATTCATGTTCTTCTTGTTCAATGATTGGTCTTACTTGTTTCTTAAATATTGGAATACGATTTACGTCGACGAATACCTCAGTTTTCTAGAAAATTAAAAATGACACAAATTCTTTCATTTAATGAATTATTATACTACATTATAAAGCGATAGTACAAATGCTACACACAAGCAAACATCAACATTTACATTTTATTTAAACAAAATATATATATATTATTATATTTAATTTTCTAGATAAACAAAGTAAACAGAAATTTATCCAAAATATTTAAGAGATAAGTACTGCAATCGTTAACCGACGATCAGGTTAGACAGTCAATATCGATCACGATTACGATTACGATTACGATTACGACAGTAAAAAAAGAGTGTAGTATAAGCTTATTTTATATATTTAAGCAGATCGTATAAAGTATAGTAGGAGTGTTTAGGAGACATTTATTAGATGTAATAGCAAATATAGTGTACATCATCGTTTCAGTTGTAGTAATGTTTATGGTTTATGAAGGATGGGAATAAAGTTGGCATTGCATGTGTAGTAAAGTTGGCATTTAAAATATAGTAAACATATAGTATATATATATCAAACATTAATTAATATAATATATGTAACAATAATATATAATAAAATATGGAAAATTAAATTTACTGAAACATAAAATAGCATTACGTTAACAATATTAATACAAAAACACAATTATTACATAAAAAAATATTTGAATATAATTAGAATTATTGAAATTACATTTTTATCATGCCATTTAGCTTCCATAAGTCCACTCCATTCGCCAGCGATAGAGAGAAAAGGTTTCTTTTCGTTTGGTGCATAAATCTAATAAAAATAAATTTTGTTAATAAATATTTTGATTTTGTTTATAACAATTTTAAATATTTACTTCGGCTGTTACTTTATTCCTTTTGCCACCATAAAATGGTTTTGTTAAAAACTCAACATTAGCATAGTAATTGGTTTGTGGACAACGTATTTCAACAGAGCCACCTAGCTCAATCCAAGGTACTGTTAATATGGATCTAGAAACGTAGACATTTATTATTTTTAAAATGATTCCAATTTTAGGATTAAGGAAAAAAAGGAACACTTTTGGTACACTGTGACCAATGAAATATTTTGTCGTATTTCTGGAGACAAAATCGTAGGGCATTTTATGAGTATTATAAATCTAACAATATATCTTGGTTGAAAAACCTTGACTTCATTCGTTTCAACGGAAACTATATAGAGGTATTGGACTCGTTTACTGACAGAATAACTTGTCAAGTTATTATTATTTATAGTTACAGTTATTATTATTTATTACCATTAAATAAATAAAAATCAGCTAAAAACTTTTATCATTCGTATCCATTTTTTACCTGCCGTATCCATTTGGAAAGTTAACATAATACTGTTCGCTACGTTCTATTAAGGTAACAATACCTTCACCAATGTTATGTACACCAACCGATAGTCCCAAAAATTTCGACTTTGTCCATACGTGCGCACAAAACTGTATTTTTTTGTTGACATGCTCAGCATAGAAAGCAGATACTGTAAAAAATAACAAAATAATTTTAAAAATTATTTATGTAACTTATTAATGACATACTTGGAGGATGATGCGAAACTTGCTCAGCCAGAAAAGTCAATTGATTTTGACGACACCACGGTACAGGCCCATCCGATACTTCTGTACATTCTGTAGACTCACCTATATGAATATTAAAACGATTATTATTATTATTTTATAAAAAGCGTGTGATAAACATTTTTAAGATATATTTATAACAGAAATACAGATAATGTCTGCTTAACCTAAGATAATAGCCGTACTCGTGTAAAGACCGCGTCTGTCAACTCTAATACGTGAACTTCTTACTCATTTGTGATGTAAATTATTTTACAATATTAATATCAGTTATATTAACTACACCATTTCGATACGCGATATTACTTATTCGTACGCGAATTTATTTATAAAATTTATTTGGATAGATCTAAGTAAGATATTACAGATACCATTTTGATATATGGATACATTAAAACTAATTTCAATAAATATAAATAAGTTGAAATATTTTGAAAGGCAATGTTGGAAATATGTTACAGATACGTATCCGATATGTGTTCTTGATTACTTTTACTTTTATTTAAGTAGATATAATAAGTTTCCATTCAGGCTTTCTTTGCCAACACATAATTCATGACTTATTAGTACGTATTAGCATTATTAAATGAGATATAGTTTTGTAAGGTTCCCTAACTGAATAACTAAATATTTATACAACAATTTAAAGTATATCTGTCATACCTGGTATATCCCAATAGCATTGAAAGATTTCTCCTAAAATTGGATTGTAAGGTTTCTTTGCTACCGCACTCTTGCGGCCGGCATGATAGGCACTCAAATACCAACGGCAAACTTGTACTATACGATCGCGCGGACTATCAAGTTCCGCAATTCTGTAAGTTAACAAAATTTCAATTAAAACCATACCAAAAACACAACTCATTTAAGATAAAGCCTTACTTTAAGAATAAATCAGGATGTGCAAAATAATCGGCATACATTTCCAGTAATGAACGTCGTTCCAATATAAAAGTTGGCAATACTACTTTTGTTAAATCCATGCCAATTTTTACCTGAGACAATAAATGAGAAATCATAGAACCATGCGCCTCCATACTAATGCTAGTATCCTCCTCCTCTTCATATAGTGCATCATAATCTATCGAACCATCATAACTACGATATGCTCTACTTTCACTCGTGCGTGGGGAGTCAAAATCATTTTGATAGTTTGACAAAGTGCTCGAAGCAGTTTGAAACTCATCGATTTCACTTAAAGCTGGCGGAACTTTTTTGTTTACCGTTGCTGTGGCTGTAGTTGTGGTCATCTGCGATTCTGGTGGATTTTCATTTGTGGGTGATGTCTCCACTGAGAAGCCACGCGTTGCGCTGGAAGCACACAATAATACAATTACATAAATTATGATAAATGCGTTAATAGATAAAATCTGATCTGTATGACGATGTTAATAACTATGTACGCAACAGGAAACGGAAAGTGATGTGCTAATAGCTGGTATCTAGTAACACATTAGCAAATACCATTTATACTTGTTATAGCCACACAATATTCATAACAATTTCCTTGCTTTTGTCATTTTTTTTTTTTTGTTGACTTCTCTGAGGGCTTCTCTATGTAAAGTAGGACAAAATCTGTGCAAAATATGAACAACGCATCAAACTACTGAGAGGGCGCGATTGTGGGAAGTGTAGGGGCTTGCATATGAAATTAGGTGGTACGCATGAAAATGTTGTTAATAATCCTAGGCGATCCAGCAGCAAACGCACATGGATTTACATAGATTTCATATCTAATTTGCATAAAAGGCTTACAATGAATTTCTTGGACAGAAACTTTGATTGCTGAGGGCATTGCTTTGGATAGTTTTAGTTGGATTTGCTGGCAAGTAGGCACTTGCTTTATATTTCTCCCAAAACGGATTATGAATTTTAAACAAATCTACAATTCTTTTTTGTTCAACTTTTCTGAGCTTCCTTCCACAGTTCAAGTGAAATGAATTTTTTATCTTTCTTAAATGCTTGAAGTGAGTGTGAGCTGTATTATGAATGCGGGTTAAACTACACATTTCTATTTAGAAAAATTATGAAATGCCGACACGCTTAAACAAAAGCAAAATAGTGCCATTAGTGTTCAAGGCTTTCAGGACGGCACAAAAGAATTATGTGATGCTGCAGCAGCGCCATGGGAATTGTAAATTAGGATGTGTCATAAAAAGTCAATGAGATGGAGATGGAGAGTTTGTTTGCTAGTTTAACCGCCTATCCGTCTTCTCGTCTATTCTGTACGTAATATATTATAGTATATTGTGTATGAGTATGAACGATGGGAGAATGCGTTGAAATACTTGAAGTGGCAAGGGTGCAGTTGAGGTTACACCTATTTTTCTATCTATCATGATTTTAAATGGTACACATTTTTTTCAAACTTTAAAAATAATTATATAAATTTATTTTTGTGTTTTTTCTCTTAAATTTTACACAAAATTGTGCACACTTTTTAAAATTAAATAAATATTTACTTATATACATTTTTATTTATAAATAAATGTATATGTTCTTCTATATAAACATTTATGTAAATACTTTTTATTTTAATATAATGAGGATGTATCAATTAATAGAGTAATTAAGCAACTAATACCTAAGCACATAAAGATTATAAAATATTTTATTTAATCATTTATATATAAATAAATTTGTTCGGTTAGGGTCAGATGTAGCACAAAAGATCAATCTGGTGGCAGTGGTCTGCTCCGGTCGGAGCTAGTACCATGTTTATTTTTATTTTATCTTTAAATAAATATGTTTGTTCTTTATATATATTCATTTATTTTTATATATTGAATATATATTTTAATTACTTGAACATTAATAGAGTAATAAACAATATAATACCTAAAGTTTAATTAAACTTTTTAATATAAATTTTTATTTAATCATTTATATATTTATTTATTAATAAAAGTGTAAAGTCTTATATGTATAAAGTCATAAAGCCATATATGTATATATATTTATATATATAGTCCCCATATAACGCGATAGATTGGTTCCGCGTTATAGGAAAACGCGTTATAGGGGTATTCCCGTATACCCCTTATACAAACACGTGCAAAGGTATGCGAACCTAATTATGAACTGTACAAATCCCCGCGTTACATGAGGGAATGCCTTGTTCAACTGGGGATTGAAATCGCGTAATATGAAAACGCTTTATAAGGGTATCGCGTTATAGAGGGGATTACTGTATATTCATTGTGTTTACTATAATGAATAAATATTAAATTGTAAATGAATAGAGTAATATAACGTAAAGCCTGATACCTAAACGTTAAACTAAATTTATTTGTATAATTTTTTATTTAATCAACTGTCAAAACAAAGTATTGGGTTTATTATAAGTAATACATTCATAATGTACATTAAGACTGAAAAGTTTTCGGAAATTCTCATTTAAAATTCGCGCGCTGTATATTTTTCGATATTTTAAGTTTATGTAGTTTGGCAGCAATTAAGGACAATTACTATGCCAAAAATGAGCGCGATCTGTCAGACAGTTCGTTTACGGCAGCTGTTGAAACCAGTTCACCTCAGTAGTGCGTTGCGAAATGTCTTCGACGGTCGTACGACCGTCCTGAAAGGCTTTGTACCACTCATAAACTTGAGTTTTCGATAAAACTGATTCCCCATAAGCCTTTTGTAGCATTCGCAACGATTCTGCACACGAAATTTCGTTCGAAACACAAAATTTGATGCAAACTCTTTGTTCAATATTTTTTTCCATTGTTTTTTTCGCAACGCACTACTGAGGTGAACTGGTTTCAACAGCTGCCGTAAACGAACTGTCTGACAGATCGCGCTCATTTTTGGCATAGTAATTAAGGACAGTGCTGCCAAACTACATAAACTTAAAATATCGAAAAATATACAGCGCGCGAATTTTAAATGAGAATTTCCGAAAACTTTTCGGTCTTAATGTATGTAAACGTCTATTATTTGAATTATTAACTAGTAAAAGGTAACGAGTTGGAATCACAATAATATTTAAATATTACAATAATATAATATTTAACAATATTACAATAATAATAATAATTACAATAATATTTAAAGTTCATATTAATGATTCATATTAATAGAGATTAAGATATATTGCGACAAAATAGATTTCCTGTGACGACATTTTCTCAGATATATTTCGATGGTGATCTATCATGGAAATTGATTTAATATAAAACAAAAAAACAAATATTTTATATAGAATTATCTGCGAAGCTGATTTCAGAAAGCAGCTATATAAATAGTATTGTAAACTATTTATAGCTTTCAGATTAAAAATAATAGATAACTCACTACCTATACTTATTTTTAATAATTGATTTCAGTTCAGTGTTGGCATAAATCAGAATTTATATATTTTTTGAATGAAAGACTGCGAAAAGTGATCTTCATTATTGATTTTTAAAATTATCTAATACCATAAGTCAAGTTTTAAGTCAAGTCATAATGACAAACATCTTTTTTTATCAATTCTGGTCTAGGTGACTGTTGGTTATAACAAATGATACCAAACAAGATATATAAGCCCAGTCAGGGACAGCTTGTCTTAAGCTATCAAAGATGTGTGTGGTTTAGTATTGCGATGGAAGACCAAATGGTTTAACAAGGTTAACAAAGGTTAGCAACTCTCATCTACCGCATAATTTTTGAGGGCATCACAATGGACAATATATATTTCCGAGTGGAAATACTGACAAATGTCAGTCTTTTAAACCTAACTTAATCTAGTATTGTGATGATGAAATACAACAGCTCTCGCATTTAGCAATCCGGTCGATGTTAGTTGTCGTTTACAACAAATGATATCCTTACAATCTCATCAAACAGTATGTTTATTTGTAGATTGTCACATATAAGTTTAGCAGAGATATTGGTAGGCCTCACTCCTTACCAAGGAGGAAATTATGTACAAAACACATAACTTCATTGGAACTGGCGGAAATTCATTAGAATTTTCAATGGGTCGTTTATCGGCGCATTATCTTGATATATGTGTTCGTAGAGGTCTTAAGCCTTCATGGCAGGTACCCACGATAAACAACACTGTTATTGTCACATATAAGTAGTATTATTAAATATAATGAGTTTAATTAATGTAAGATTATTAAGGATCAAAATAATGAATGTATATGCTATTCAAGCACAATTGGGTGTTCACCTTAGTACATTTTAACTCTTACCGACTTACAGATGATGATATTTTATTTTTGAAGTTATGGATTAAATTTTTGTTTTGCTTAAGTCTCATATTTAAAATGTTTAACCTTTAACTGTTTTAATTAATTAATTGTGTTGTATATTAAAACTTGTACTAAATAAATTTTCATAAATAAATTTTTAAAATTCAATTGAAAGTTAAATCATAGCAAATGTTGAATGTGTACATGATTGATTGAATCTAACTTTCGCTTCACTAATACATCGAAGTGAAAGCACATACTCGTATAAAAACGAAAGTATCTTAGATTAAAAGTTACACAAATAGCAAACTATTTAAGTGCCAAAGGACATAGTGCTTAATATCTAGATTGCTCTGCGTTCAGATGCTGATCCTTGTTCTTACAAATGTCAAGCAAACGCTGCACAAAACAAAAACTCAAATACTTACGCACACTTAAAATCAATTTATGAACTGAGGTTCTACTTGAAGTGGTGCTTACCTTAAACTTACACGACGTACCCATTTCTTAAACATTTTTAAACTTAAATTCGTATTTCTACTTGAACGGGTAGAAGGCAGAAATGTGTGTAGCTTTGACTACACGAGGATACGAGGATATATTGAATTCAATATACAGCAGCCGGTTGGACACACATTTAATCAAATAAAATTGAAAATCGAAAATCGAATTTAATTAAAAAGTTGGCATCCTAGAAATTTATATACTTCAATTTAAGTTATGAAATGAATTTTTTAATTGCAGAAATGCTTTCGTGGCCACTCATACCAGCGATCCGCAATCGACAATAGAAGATACTTTTGCATAATTTTCGGTAAAGCAATTGAAATTTTTAATGCGGCAGAATGATTAAATATTAAAAAAGATTGGCAGTAGTCCGGGTTGCCTGACAGCGTGGAGGACGGGAGCATGTCACACGAGACGTCATAGGTTACTGCGTCACAACACAACAAAATCAAACGATGAAACTCGTGGAAGTTTGTAACTTTAAAGATATTTATAATTTTCAACTTCACCGTAAACTCAAAATATTATTTTATAGCATCGATTTTATTAGATTATTTTTCTATTTAAATTGCCGTAAAAACGTGGGTATATTTATTAAAATGGAAGCACTTTATTGCACTA